TTATTAATATTTTCTTGAAGATCTTATGACTTGAAAAATGTAACTCACAAGAACACTTCTTTCTGTTTTCATGTACTGAAATTATTAAATCAAATATAGCATGTAAATATATTTTACCTTTAAAAATCCCTTCCAAAAGTAACCAGTTGATGTTTAAAAACTGCTTATATTTTATTTCAGAAAATTTTTAATTAAGTTTTTTTTAACATTATAAAGAAAGTTGTTGTGGAAAAGTATTAAAAACGATTGAACCCTTCAAGAAAACACCAAAATTTGAATGTTAAAATGTAGACAATACACAAAGAGTGTTACTAAGTTATTTATTTAATAATGAACTTACTAAGAGCAACGTGAAATTACTAAGTTGTTTATGTGACGAAGGAGCAAGCCACAATGAAATTAAAGAAATAAAAAACTTTACTTAAAACTTCCTAAACCTACTAAAAAATGTGAAAAATATATCTAATATCTGATTCTGTACAGTATTTTGTTTTAAATTTTTATATTAAAGTGTTTTTTATTATAGCTCTCAATTTCTCGTGTTTCAGGGAAAAGACAATTTTATATAAAATACAACCATATATAACACGTGGCAATGGTGTTTTATTACACAGAGTTTCCTCTTTATAGGTGCAGTCACTTCTGAGTTAGAAGTGTTTCCAACTAACTTTTAACCTTAAAATAGTCAAAACAAACAAACAAGCAAAAACAAACAAAAAACCCTATAACCACAGTGACAATAATATAAAATATAAAATTAAAAATATTAATGGTTACAGTGAAACTGTTTTGTATCCATAAATAGATTGTTGTTGCTAGAAGATTTAGTATCTAAAAGATACTAAAAGTATGTTAGATACTTTTAGTATCCAAAAGATACTAAATTGCTCATTTATGACAAGGACTGGAATAGTGTGATTATAAAACATAAAAATAAGGAGACTAAGGTATCTGAGTGAACATTTTCCCCACTCAAATTATTATTATCAATACGAGTCTTTACAAAGATATAAATTCAGAATGAATTAATTTCATGATAGATTTTGAGAGGTTACAAGAAGTTTCTTTCTGGGACATTCAAAATATTATCGTAGCAATTCAAATTGTCAGTAAAAGCTTAAACAAATTTGCTGATAATCCTGTTAATGACCTAGGTCAAGTGTTAACTGTTGTGGGTTATAAAATAGTGAAATTAAAGTTTCTTCTACCTTCAGGCAAAAAGCACAGTTAACCATGGAGTGGGGGGTTGGGGGAATGTAGGGGCTAGCTATTAGGAGAGCCTATTAAATTACAAAAATGTATAATGCATTCAATTATTTAGTCTAGCATGATGAAATGCTATTAGAAGCAAATGTAAACCCTCTTCCAAACCAGAAATCTTATAAAGATGATATGATAGCTAAGTTCTCTATTAATGTTTCAATCACTGTGTGTTCTTATTTGAGGAAAAGTGTTTATATATGAAAAGTTATGCCAATTTACTTTTCATATATAAACACCTTTTTATATATAATTTTTTAAAATGGGAAAAAATTATTTATTTATTTTTCCCAACATTTGCCTAATACTCAAAGGGAGACTTATAACATTCATATGCAAGTTTTACTTTTAAGCTTTAAACAATCACATAGTGTCCTCTGGTATTTAGAATATTTATGTTTATAGAAATACATTTTATAGAAATAGTGTCCCAGCCATTCAAAAAAAGTTTTTAAAAAATATTATATAAATATAAATATTTAATTTTATTCAGTTTTATTTTTTATACTCTGATTTTCATTATAAATAACTTTCTGGATAAATGTTAATGCAATTTATAAGCTCTTTTGAATAGAAAAAATGATTCCTGTATTATGTACTGATGAATTTATATGCATTGTGCCCCAGACTGCCATAAATATATAAAAGCATTTAATGAGATTAACCAGTTCTAAAAGTTGTGAACTAATCACAGTAGATAATTTTATTTTATGTTCAGTTTTAACTTTGTTCCAATGTTATTTCTGTTTACGAATAATAATCCATCTGCTATGGAAACAGGGAGTAAGTATATAGACTTTTAAAATAATACATACTGTAACAATCATATTTTGCCATAAAAAGTAACCGATTTCCCATTAAAAGTATTTTTAAGCCATGTACACAGACATACCTGATAAGAATTTAATAAAGTTTTAATGAAGTTCTGTTTAAGTATACAGTATATACGTTTAAGTACATAGGCTAACTACTGAGTCAAGTGCTCATTGGAATTATGAATGTTTATTATCATTGATGAGTCTCTATTATCCCCTGGAGTCATCTTCTTGAAAGCATATAAGAAAGATATTTGTAAATATATTAATAAAATAAATTCAGATTAAACATTTTCTAAGTTATTTTTCTTACCAGGGACCCATGGCATTTCAATATTGATAGTTAATGGGCAAATCTCAGATTTAAAAAGAAATCACACAACTGCAAATATCCTAGCTATTAAGTCAATGGCCTGGTTTTGTTCTCATTTGGATCTCTCAGGCCTAACTTCATAATAGATTAAAGAATATATTCTAGTAAATACCCTCCAGTAAATTTCCAGTACATTTTTATAGTGCTGAAATGTTTCAAGCATATTATTTTAAATACAGTTTCATATTTCATATTTCAAAAATTATATCAGAAAATGCCATTAATATTATTTTTAAATCATCACTCCTCCCATATACAAGTTTTCATAAGAATTGCTTTCTATTGAGATTACACTTGGAAAATTTGCCTGGCAATCTTGGCATTTTCACTTTTTATGTAATTCAGTACGACTACGAGCCAAGCTATGGATTAATATTTAAAATCTCACTCAAGTATTACCTAAGTTAAATCACCTTAAATTTGTTTAAAAGCTTCCCTTCACAATCACAGGAAAAAAAAGAGACACTACCCATAAGACACAATCTGGAAAGAATAATCCCATGAATGATGAATAGATAAACTTTTATCCAAGCAAATTAAATGTAATTATGTCAGCTTTCTGAATACATTTACTTTTCTCTATATATATATTGTTAATACATCTGTCTGTATAATTATGTACATCATGTCCCCAAACATGCATGAGGTGAGGCTTATAAGCAATTTGCATTTGATTAACCCTGCTTCATTAAATTAATACTCATTAATTTTATGTAAGTGTGAAATACTTTGGTGTCTTTTTTTTTCTCTTGCAGTTTACTTAAAGGTTATGTTTTCCACAAAAATACTATCAGCTACATTCTTGTGCATAATTAATTCAGTAATTTCCATTATCTATGTAGTTCATAAATGTTCTATCTGAGTTCATAAACATTCTATCTGGAAAATATAATTCATCGTGGCAATGCAGGAATTGTAATGCTATTTTTCTAGTTATTGTCAATATTTTAATATCTACAAAAAATTTAAAACATTAATTTTAATTTATTGATGTCACCTATTATATACATGCTACCCATTGTACAAATGACTACTTTTATCTTTCATTCAGAAGAATAGTTGCCCATTACTTTCAAATAAACATTTTAATTTTGTTTTTAAAAGAAAAAGGCATTTGTGGGTAAGATAACTTTCTTGATCTTTATATTTTAGAATTTTTATTTTCTCAGTTAAAAAAAAAGATACAGAAAATTTAATGAAATCTGCCAAATTGATAAAGGCAGTCGTAAGGGAGGAGATAAATTACTGCTCTATTAGCAGTGAAAGTGGGTCATTGAATATCAGGCAGTTTTTACATTTAATAAAAAAGTTTCCAAGTATTTTGTTTTGGTGTTTTTCAAAATAAGGTACACTCTATAATATACAGCAGTATTGGCTTGATAATATATTTTCTAAGGAGTGATGTATATAACATGATGTTTACACATCAGTTGCTCAGTATTGTTAACTTGCAAAATAAATTGCTAAATGTTGTTGTTATAAGTTCATAATCACTAAGAGGAAATTAGTGTCCTAAGTGTGGCTTTCAACTAATCAATTATTTAGAGAAGTTTGTTTTAAGAGTTAGTGACTGTATTCACAAGTCGTTAGGAATAGATTACAAAAGGTATACAGGAGAAGGACAGTGTGTGTATTAAGTAGACGGTCTTACAGAGCACACTGGTGACCTTAATATTAGGTTTGCACCTTAACCCATCGAAAAGAAATGAATGCCCATTACAAGGATAATAAATAACCCAACATCAAGAAAATGGCATTTGCTGCGTACGAACATTCTCTCTTAATCTACTATTCGGTTATTTACTATATCTTCCAAGGAGCTAGTCACTATTCATTAAATACATTCTCCTATTTGTACATAAGCCTTTAAGCAAAGAGAATCCAACCTAAGCTTATTGTAATTCCTGTAAATATTACTTATGTTAAAGTGGCATATGCTGCTCCTTGGAACCTGTACGGCAGAGCAAAGCATTGAAATTAGGTAGGGATACACCTAACTTGAACACAGCCCTCGCAACACAAACACACACGCACCTCCGCTTCGACAAAGTCTCATTTCCCTTTAGTCCATTCATAAATGCCATGATCCCAAGTAGGAACAACCTGTCATTACCTTTAAACACACTAAAGACTCTAGAGAGGAAGGCTGAATTTTCTTCCAAACTTCTCGGAGTACCGCATGGTCATAATTAGAAAATAAAAGACTGCCTTGGCCATTTGGCAATTAACATAACTGGGTTGCAACGCTGGAGAATTTTCTTCCTTGCTTGCTGGTCATATTGGCCAACAAGGTAATTGCCCGAATTGGTATCAGATTAAAAACACATTGTGAAGGTTTAGACCATGTAACGTTGTCTCCCGAAGTGTTTTAGAAAAGACAGCAGGAAAAAAAAAAAAAAAAAAAAAAAAAAAAGGCACATCCTTCGTTCAATCTCAGAGCAAACTGCTCTGTTCGGAGGCACCTTCGCGACGCGCCCGGCCCGGGTGAGAACGTGCTTTGAGGAGCGAGCGCCCGCGGGCAGCGCTGCGCCCCCGGCGGGTACCTGCCTTACCTTCATTGGGGGGCTGCGGACTCACTTCCCCGGAGCCGCGGAGAGCAGAGCAGCTGAGCAGGAGGAGGACGGAGAGGTGACAGTCCATGTTGCCGGGGCAGAGGGCAGCGACAGGAGCATAGCTCCCCGGAGCATGCCACGGATGTGAGCGGGAGCGCCCTGGTCGCTGGAGAAGTTACCATGCTCCGCTCGCAGGCTGATGTCAAGTTTGACACTGGAGATGAGGAGGAGTCTGGCTGCCTGAGCCGGCCCCGTCGCGGACGTGCCTGGGTCCTAGCGCCGCCGGCGGTGGCGCGCAGCTGGCTCTGCAGCCCCGAGCTGCTCGGGAAGGACACGGGGTGCGAGTGGGGGCGCCGCCCGCGGGGCGGGAAACACTGAAGTTGTGATGAGGACGCGGTGCTGAGAACAATGCACCCCCTTTTGTGTTCCACGAAAAGTAGCTGCGTTACAGTTTGCTGTCCAAGCTCTGGTGCTCAATTCACAGAAGAAATCAGAGTCATATGGCGATGCTGCTGCGAAAGGAGCTGAAATGCCACAGGAACGTGTGCTGTTGGAAAAGAGCAGCCTTTCTTTAAAGAGTCCATCGCGTCTGTATAATTGAAATAATTGTTGTCGTTATTCCCGTACTGTGTTCTATGTGATCATAACTCTCCATGGGTTCTTTGTGGTTCAGAAAGACACTAATACGCAGCCTGGATCACAGAGGCTCTGCATTTCTACACCAAACGTCATCAGGGCTTTTAAATAGATCTGGTGCCCTGATTCCCAGCGCACATGGAGCATACTTTGGTTTTTAAACGGGGAAGTAACCTTCATCACCCTAGGAGAGTGAACAAGTCCAGCCCCAGCCTTAAAGTCATACAAATCAAACCTAAATTTCTCAAAAACACATATCCCCTCCCTTACCGTCTCACATTAGGATCTCTGGGTCCTGGGAGAGAAACAATGCATAATTCGCCGCTCCTCCATTCCGCTTTCAGCCACTGATAATCTGATAATATTGGGATATTCTTATGCCTTAACTTTCCAAATCCAAAGGCTAAATAATAATGTCCTTGTACTTTCTCACTTGTTTTACACCATGGTTATCAATAGTCTCTGTTATTTTTAGTCCCATTGCTGAACAACCTATTGCGATCTATTTCAGTCACAAAATTTTGTAATTTATATTTTAATAACTATCACGTACCCTTAAAATATGTGGGAATATCATTATTCAGATATCCTTTCACCCATCTATCTCTTCTTATTCTCAAAAGAAAACAAGATTATTAAATTCCTCTCACAACTTCAGAAGATAAAGGTATGTCGATAATTTAAAGATGAGTGATCAATTTTAGAACTCTTGGTAATGAAATTTAAATGAAAGTTTCCAAAGGCCTTGCTAATGATACCTTCATTTCACAAACACAATGACTTTAATTAGAGAGTACAATGTTCACTTGGACTTAGGTTAATGATGCCAGATACTAGTTTGATGACTGGGGGTGGGGAGGTGGGGTGGATAGAAGGAGCCAGGGGGAAACAGAGACCCTGCTCCCTTTTCTGTGTGTTCCGGCTTACTTTGTGTCTCTAACTTCTTCCCACATTGTGTCACCAGAGGCTGTGGAACCCTACAGTGCAAAGTCTGTCAGAATTGAAAACAATAACAGATACTGCACAGAAAGCTTAGATAGTGGTGACTCTGGTGTTTTTCAAAGTTCTAACACAACGCTTACATTGTTCCAAAGTTAGATACAAATTTTCTGAAACTTGAAAGAAACTAAAATCTTATCTGGAATTGACAATTTGAAAACATTCTGGAGAACTTTTCAATGTGCTGGCACGCACATGCATTGCCTCCCACACACACACACACACACACACTCACACTCACGCTACTTCTCCTTTCACACTTGGAAACTTAAAAAGTGCTTGTCACTGGGAAAAGAGGCATTCATGTTTGCAGAAAGCTACAAGAGTGGCAAAATGAGAACAAAGCAATACCTGGCCTGAAAACAGGATGCAAATGATAGAGAATCTCTAAATTGTCAACTCTGTCATGAAAAGTAAGATTTCCATTATGTGGGCACCATTCTGGACAGATGGGGAGGAAGGAGTGACGCCAACAGGCAGAGATGAGCGATCGATTTGTCCACAGCAAAAGTGGAAATGACAGAGGTGAGGGCAGCAGGTCCAGGCAAAGCCTTATTAAGAAAGCGGTAGTTGAGTTGCAGCTTGAAGGATGGGTAGGAGCTCACTGGTAAGAAAATGGCTCAGAAGGCACTGCAGGCAGGCAAGACCAGAGAGTGTCCAACTGAGGCAAAAAAAAAAAAAAAGGCATTTGGCACACCTGGAACGTAGAGTGTGTTAGAGCATTTGTAGTAGAAAAGGGGCCATGAAAGGAGGTAGGGACTGGAGACAAAGTGTAGGGAAATATTCTTCAAAGGACAGATTGAAAACTGCAGAGATTTTGATGCCACACGTCAACGATTTTACAATATATTTTAGACCAAAGAGACACATCAAAAGCATTTCAGCAAGCAGTAAATTGATCATGTCTCCGTGTGGTGACAAAATTTACTGACAGCATAAAACAGGATGTCTCCACCTGGTGCAATACTTATTAAGAAGTGACACCTGCTTCCCACCACAGACCAACTGGATCTAAACATCCGAGGTGGGACCCTGGAATCGGCCATTTCACAAGCTTCTCAGGTAATCCTTGTGGTCCCTGGAGAACCACTGCTCAGTGCGAAGGAGGGAGTGTTAGAGGTAGGCCAGTCAGACTTCAGGCTATTCTTCAAGTAAGACTAAAGTGATAAGGGACTGAACTGGGATCTCTCAGGAAGAAGCAAGATAAAAGGGAAAATGAGAAGACCATTTTAGGTTAAACAAACAAAACTCCCCCAAGAAAAACTGGATTTGGTACATAACTCAAGTTAGGAGTTAAAGAATAGTTCCCCGGGGGAGATGGCAATCCGGAGGAAACGAAACAGGGACATTTTAAAGAAAAGTGAAAACAAGCTTTCTGGAGGAAATGACAAATAGCTCTATTATTAGAGATTTTGAGATGGTGTCAGTGGGTATGGGAAAGAGCAGGCAGTGGCTGGAAAGGAGCAGGGTCATGAAGGGTGGTATGAGTTGCCCTAAAAAGCTTGGACGGGGGTGCTGAGGGGCAAAACACTAGTTCAATTTGCATTTTAGAAAGATCAGTTTGACATACTTAAGAAAGGAGGAGAAAATGAAAGTGAAAACCCCAATTAGAAGGCAAAAGAGCAATTAGGAGCCCTTTGCAGGAGGCTGGTCAATATCATGTAGAGGTTACCAGTGGGGCTTTTGAAATCAAGCAACCTAGGTCACTGACCTGGCTCTGCCACTCTTAGTAAAATCCAGATAATAACAGATCCTGTCTTATCAGAATGTTGTAAGGATTATATCAGATTTGGGATGGTACAGATAAACGTGTTAGATTAGTGTTTGACTTATAAAAAGCATTCAATACTGTTTTTTTTTAAAATGTTGATCCAAAAGAGACATCTAGAGAGTGTGACACTGAGCAGTAACAGTATAAATGAAACCAGGCACATATACGTGAGAGAATTGGCAAACTTCATAATAGATTGATTATGAAAAATTAGGTAGAGGTAGTGCCTAGAAGACCTTTCAATTCCTGGCTTGAATGAGGAGTCAGTGAGGAGGAAGAGAGGTTTGAGGAGAGAAAACAGGCATGGAATGTAAAGATTTCTGTTTTACATATGTCTAGTTGGAAAAACGTAAGAGAAAGCCAAGGATAAATGAAATCTTAGGAGAAAAGGACTTTAATGCAAGTTGTTTCTTTTAAATCATTAGTATATAAAAATAGACTGGGCATGGAGGCTCAGACCTATAATCCCAGCACATTGAGACTTCGAGGCGGGTGGATTGCTTGAGCCCAGGAGTTCAAGGCCAGGCTAGGCAACATGGAGAAACCCTATCTCTATAAAAACTAGCCAGGCATGGTAGCACACACCTGTCATCCTGATTACTGTGATGGCTGGGGTGGTAGATCTCTTTAGCTCTGGAGGCAGAGGTGGCAGTGATAGAGTGTTGGTAGGAAGACCAGTTGCCTGGCCAAGGATGAAGCCCTAACATACAGCAATATTTAAAAGGTGGGTAGAAATAAATACCAAATAACTAGAAGAAATAGCTTATTAGAAGCCAACCTTGTTAAAATTTTGACAAATAAATTGTTAACTGGAATGTGTGCAAAAAAAATCCAAAAAGATGACTGAAAAGTCACAATTGGATTTGACAACATCCTTGATGGTGGACGAGGCGTTCTCTGAATCTGCCACCCTTACCTCTGTCCTTCCCTCTTTTTGCAGCTCAAGTTATTGCTCTCCTCTCTTGACTTCCCTCTTTTTCACATCTATCCAGAACGGTGCTTAGGTTAGAGAATCTCTTTACTTACTGTTCGATGTCTCTTCATCTGGAGAGTCCACTATTTCAAGATCTTGTATCGTTTACATTAATTCCCAGGTATTGCTTTGTGCTCATTTTAACTCCTGTAAGTTTCCTTCAAACATGAGTGCCTCTGCCTGCAAGGACGATTTTGATGACTTTGGTGATACTTTGGGTATAATAACAAGTTCAATTAAGATAAATAAGTCAATGGTAAGTGAGGATATAGAAATAGTACGGATGCCATGCTTTCAAGAAGGTAAGCTCAGAAGAGAAGAGCCTAGAAGAGAGGAAAGGAAGATCCAGTGAGAGCATTATAAAATAGAAAAGGCCGGTAGGCTTCCCTCTCCTGTGCTTAGCTGATTAGTGACACAATTAACAGGAAATACGATGGTTCAAATATGGGAAGTAGAAAAAAAGTGGGAAATTAACAATTTTTTTGTTTACAACATGTTGGGATCTAATTGTAGTTAATAAAGCCAGTAGTTTGATATAAAATAGGAAATCCAGAAGGGCATAAACTGCAAGTTAGGAAATTGTTGGTAAATTTACAGTAGTTTAATCCATGAGAGTAAATGTAATTGCTCAGAAAGACTATGAACAATGAGGAAAAAAGAGAAACCAGAATACCATTCAGATTATTATTGTTATTTTGAGACAGAAGCTGACTCTGTCAGCTAGGCTGGAGTGCATTGGCATGATCTTGGCTTACTATGACCTTTGCCTCCTGGGCTTCAATGTTCCCTCCATCTCAGCCTCCCCAGTAGCTGGGACTACAGGAGTAGGCCACCGTGCCCAGCTAACTTTTGTATTTTTTTGTAGACATGGGGTTTTGCTATTTTGTCCA